GGAACATATTGTTAACAGTGAAAGTGCCGAAAAGGATTTTCATAATTATTGGTATGTGTACGTTACCGGCCGCTTCAAAAACACGTTTCTGAAGGTAACTTAGTTTGGGCAGTCCCGTCTTTTATAAAATGGGAAGAGGCAACATTTCTTCTGTTTCAGTACTGGAGAGATCTTTTCGAATTCCGAGATGCACTTGACAAAGAACTGTTTAAAGAATCCGCGATTGATAGTAACGTTATTGAGAACTACAACCAGTTCAAAGCGCTTATCACGTAATGCAAACGGAAAAGTCGTTTTAACGATTTTGAGAAATCTGATCACAGAAGTTGCAGGAAATACCCGTCTTTTTTTTTTTAAGTTTGTGGATGACGTAAGTTGTGCTTGTTATTGGCTTTTTTTTTGAAGAAAAAAGAGTTCGTTTTGATGGTTTTACAATGTTTATAAAAATTCTGAACAACTGGCTCGCATGTTACGCTTACATAATGTAGCAGTTTCCTTTTGGAAGAACTCGAAAGCTCCGTGAGACTAAAAAGTAGTTTTTATACGGCACTTATTTATATGTATAAAATCCTTCTCCACTTTTCTTTCCCAATTTGCCTTCACTTACTAATTTGTTCAGCATCGGATTCGGCTTAAACTGCTCCTCGTCGGGGTAGCGCTCGTGCCAACCTGTAAAATTCATGCCTTATTTCGCCAGTATATTCGAAAATGTTTGTTCAGAAGTATCACATCCTCAGAAATGCATTTGGGTTAGATTTCCCCAGTGTTCACGTTACTGCACCATCTTATGCTACCTCTTCGCGCTATTACTTTCAGTACGTTTGGAATTTGGAAAAAAAGAAAAATTTTTTTTTTGAAGACCTGAAAATCAATTTGGAGAACGTATGTTCACCGGTTTTTGATCTTAGTTCTATGAGGCAAGAAGATGAAGGAGAACAGTGGGGAGAGGGAAGAAGAAATGACTCAGGCCTTTTCAAACTAACCATCTTGAATAAATTTTGTAGTATCGAGACCGACATAATCGAGTAATTCAAAGGGCCCCATCGGATAACCAGCACCGAGTTTCATCGCTGTGTCGATGTCTTCCGGCGATGCATCTCCGCGCTCAAACATTCGAATTGCTTCCGTCAAGTATGGAATAAGTAAGCGATTGACTATGAATCCAGGCGTGTCCTGAATTTCTGGCACTCGTAAATACAACAAAAGACTGAAATTTGGGGAAGAAAAGAAAGTAGGGGAAGAAGAAAAGAAAGTAGGCTTGCCTTACATGCGACGGTTGTTTTGCCTAAAGCCCTTGCAAAGGCTTGTAATGCATCAAATGTGGCATCCGATGTTTCCGCAAATCGTATTACCTGAAAGAAAGCTCGCAGCTAAATGAGATCTTCCCTACATTTTTTTGGGCTGTTGATTACATATATGAGTATCAGAACGAAATGCAACTAAATGATATATTTTTACGGAGGGCGATCGTTCATCTAAAATTACCCGCTTGAAAAAATGCAAGAAAAAGAAAAAAAAATAAAAAAACAAAAAAATAAGTAAATAGACGAGAAATCTAGCCGAAAGAGACATAAAGTTCTTCCTAGAAATCAGTGAAATGAATCTGCAAGTGAGCAAAAGCAGAAATGTTAAATTTGTCAAATTCAAGCGAATAGGGCACAAAAGAGGAAGTGACACAACAGATGGGGATGATCCATCTTTATCCTCCTTTGCCGGTAGATGAGTGCGACCTTGCACGATTTTACCGTTCCAGAAGGGCATCCGAAGGACAGCTCCCAGAGAGGATAACCTAACTTACTGAGCAAATCGTTCCTGACAGTCCCGAAATGTCTGGGTGCACAGGGCAAAATTCCTGATTTTTAGCGAAGATCAGCAGCAAACTGTACCAGTATGGCACATACCTCGCATAATTTCATCATTGGTACCGGGTTGAAAAAGTGCAAACCACCAAATCTTGACTTATCTTTTAAATCCCTCGCGATATCCGCCAGTCTCAGTGATGATGTATTACTCGCAAGCAGCGTCGGCCTGAAAAAAATAAACAGTCAGGAGCAATATGGTGGTGCAACAAGAAATCCAAAACAGCAGTATTTTTCGTTCCCAGAACATTATCCAGTATGTTTGCCTTCCTACTGTGGCACTGATGCCGGATAAGTTGGTGCATCGTATTAGTGATTAAAATGAAGGGATGAATCGAAGGAGAGAAACAAGGAAATCCGCTGGCGCAAAATTCATGCACCTAATTTGAGAATAAAGAGTGAAATTATTACAGAGAGTTGTGATGTTAGATTGTCAAAAAAAACCCCGTTAGATTCGTACAAAAATTTCTGTAAAAATTAACACAGTGCAATTCCATACCACAGCCATTATACTGACGAGTTCCAGTTGTAATTCTGTAAAGAAATGTATGCAATTTAATGGGCCGAAACACTCATTTGTAGTTGATAACTTAATTAAATTTCACTTAAATCTTAGTTTTTCAGATTTTAAGCATTACAACTGCAGTACTAATTGTAATTATCGTCTGCACTGTAATTATAATTATTATTTTCATTATAATCACCATCCATTCAGCAAATTTTGTAGTTTTTGAAAAGGGGCTCAGAAAAATACTTCCAAAAACCTGCTGCAACCCGTGGGGAAAGATACCTTTTGAGAGCGGCTTCTACTTGAGCAAATAGCTTCTGTTTGGTGGGGAGATTTTCGACGATTGCTTCGATCACCAAATCTGCTTTTTCAACCGCTTTTTCAACATTGCTGAACATCGTGATGTTCGCCATTACACTTTCAACCATTGCTGCCTGCGCCTATAATTATTTTCGTTGTTGTAAATTCGAAGCCCAGAGAATCCCTATCAGCCTTCATTCCATCGTGGCGCACCATCACAACTGGACCTCTCACGGCTTGTGTTACTGCAGCTGCATCACCATATGTCGATTGATTGGCCTGCCAGTGTGGTCTTGGCGCTCCCGAGAATTCTTCAAGTTTTTTTTTAATGCATTCATCAAATGCGCGATAAGAAAATCGGCAAAATATGCAAAAAATTACTAATTTATACGATTCAACAGTCCAAAAAATTCTTTTCCAACAGTTACCTTGTGTTATTTTATATTTATTCCATCCACGTTAACTACGCTCAATGGATCACTTTACTTAAAGTGTTAATTACTTCTTATGCTATTTTTATATTTGTCACTGTTTCTAGCTTTACTCTTTGGATAACTGGTATTCGTTTTATACCTCCTATACCTTCGTTTTCTTCTACTCTTATTCCCATGTTTTTCCTTTAGGTTAGTATTATTTACTGAATAAATACTGATATACTACATTCATACATTAATAAATAGCGACGCGCCAGACTAGCCGGTGCGACCATGCGTTTTGTGCAATTCATCCACCAAACGATTGCCTGTTAATGATTTTCACTGCTTTGTACTTTAGTCCGTGCAAAAATAATTGAAACGTTGAAAAATAGTTAATTTTACGCATCGACATATGAAATCTTACGCACCGGCACTACCGCAAAACTGCAGCTTCTTGGCTTTTGTGGTCCCTGAGATAATAATTTCTCCGCCAAAATTTTCGCGAGGCCGTAGCTAATACCCGAGAGCACGAGAACGCTGCATTTGAATTTGCAAGGTCGTACGTAAGCAGGGGGTCTAAAATTGCAGCTTCGTAAATTTTGTGATTCCCGAGATAATAGTTTGTTCGCCAAAATTTTCACGGAGCTATAGGTGATACCCTAGAGCGCGAGAACGCTGAATTTGAGTTTGCAAGGTCCCACGTGGACAAGGGGTCATTACCCTAAAATTCCAGCTTCGTACATTTTGTTGGTTCCCGAGGTAATAATTTACCCGCCAAAATTTCCACGGGGCCTGGGGGCAAGAGAAGGCTGAATTTAAATTTTCTGGGTAGCATGTGGGCAGGGAATATGCTCGCAAAATTTCAGCCTTCTAGATTCCGTGGTCCTCGTGATAATAACTTTGCTCGTCCAAACTTTTATGAGGCCGTACGTGTTACCCGCGAATACAGGGAGACTGAATTTAAATTTGCGAGGTCGTGCGTGGGTGGGGAAAGTTCCCTTAAATTCTCAGCTTCCTAGTTTTTGTAGTTCCCAAGTTGAAAGTTGCGGACAAGTTGCTGCGGACACACACACACGCACACACACACGCACACATACACACACACACACACACAATCCGTGATAGTATGTGTTTCGTACTGCTGTTACACAACACAAAAGGCATAAAAAATAAAGATAATTGACCAGCGCACGGGCTGCCCGTTCGAACATGCGTTTTTTGCATATTTCCCCGCCGGTTTTGTCGCTATCGGTACCGGTTTTTTCGTCAAATGTTTCTAGCTAAACAAATTAAGACTAACCGCCAGAACTGTTAAGAAACATCCTCTTAAGATTTCAGCTTTCTGGCATCTCAGATCCCCGAGTTATGAACTTACTCGAAGAAAACTTTAGCAGGCCGGTACGCGGGTACCACTCGGGTAATGGTGCCCATTTTGAGAATTGAGGTCCGTATGTGCATTTAGCTTAAGTTCCCAAAGTTTCAGCCCTGTAGCATTTGTAGATCTTGAGATGAAAAACCGTGACTGACTCACACACAGGCACACATACGCACAGAAAACCCCTCGTCAGTATGCGTTTTCTGCATTGCATTGCTGCAAAAAACGCACAAAAATAAGCAAGAGGAACGAAATATTGCCTAAAAAGCTGAAAATTGATAAAAACCATATGGACACACTTTTTCGTCACCCTTATGTAGTTTTTTTGCAATTCGTTGCAAGCTGTTCTGTATATTAGCCCGTGATTTATTCAGTATGGCATCTGTCTGATCCACCAAATTCACCGTCAGCGAAGCCTGTGCTGCACACTAAAAAAAAGATCCCTCTTACTTCATCAAACATCACCACCGACTGCTTGTCTGCATAAAAAGGGTAAATTCAGTCTAAGAAACCTGTGCGATACCGGAACCCATAAGACCGGAGCCGATCACACAAACATTCTTCACTGCTAATA